TATGTGCCAGCTGCTTTACGAGGAACTGTATTGCAGGCGTACCACAACTCGTTGCTATCTGGCTCGCATACGGGGGTACAAGGTACATTGGGCAAACTCCTACGTGAGTTTTACTGGCCCGATATGGACGCAGATGTGAGAGGGTACATCAAGACTTGTGGGTCTTGCCAAAGGTTCAAGTCGCTGAACAGTAAGTGCGTTGGCTTACTTCGTTCGCTCCCAGTTCCCGACCGACGTTGGCACACAATGGGTATGGACCCTGTCTGGATGCCAATAACACGGTCATTGGGGGGGAAGGTGCAGAGTGATGCGTTTTACGACAGTTTTATTGTCTTCATCGACTATCTGTCAGGGTGCGCATACTTTATACCTGCGGCATCCACGATAACTGCCGAGGAGTTGGCCCATCTTTACTTCCGTGAAATATGGCGCCATACAGGTACTGCAGCTCTGATCGTCGGAGATCGAGATCCCCGCTACCTGGCAGATTTCTGGAAGGTGTTTCAATCGTTGTTGGGCTCAAAGCAGAGCTTGAGCACGGCACGACCCCAACAGATGGACGGAAAGGTCGAACGGTGTATCTCTATCTTGAAGAAGATGATTAAACCGTACCTTAATGTAACGGGAGACGATTGGGTTGACAAACTACCGATGTTGGAGTTTGCCTACAACCGTACGCAGAACAGCACTGGATACTGCCCTTTCGAGGTTGATTTGGGTAGAATTCCGCAGGCGCCGATGCATTGGCAAGTTGACACAAAGGTGTTGCAACGTATGGACGATATCTCGATCCCATTCTTGCATAAGTCACAATGTGAGCTCATCAAACAGATGGAGAAGCGTGCTGAGGCATACCGATCCATTGAACTCATAGTGCAGCAGAAACTGCAGGAAGCCCAGGACAAACAAGCGAAGTATCACGATCGTGGACGTCGTGTACAGAGCTTTCGTCCAGGAGATAAAGTCCTGTTGAACAGCGATGGGATAACGATCCCTGCTTTCAATAAGAAGCCGCTCAAGTTTAGACAGAGCTGGCTAGGACCCTTCATTGTGAAGAGGGAAGGACCACACCCGGAAACATACGAGTTAGAGCTGCCAGCTTTGATGGGCGCTTTATACCCGGTCTTCCATACGGATATCTTTAAGCCTTGGCACAAGCCGACTTCAGATCCGCACGCTGCAGGGGGGGATTCTGAGCTCCCTGACGCATCTCCCAACCCACAATCTGACACTGATCAATGGGCAGAGGCCCCAGAGGACCTAGACGACCAGGAAGACCAGGAAGATGACGACTTGGTGCACTACGGACGCATCACATGCTCCCAGAGCACTCGAATACGCCAAAGCAACCTTGCCTATGCCCTGGCCACCGAAGTACTGCACACAGAGCCCAAAACCCTCAAGCAAGCTCTAAACTCCAACGACTCAGCCAAGTGGAAGGAAGCCATGGAGGCTGAATACGTATCCCTTGTCAAGAACGGCACCTGGGAGCTCTGTCCGGCACCCAAAGATAGCAACCTTGTTGGATGCAAGTGGATTCACAAGATCAAGACGAATGCTGAAGGCAGTATCGAACGCTACCAGGCCAGACTATCCGCCCAAGGCTTCTCACAAGAATAGGGAGTTGACTAGAACGAAACATTCGCACCAGTGGCCAAGTTCGACACCATTCGGCTACTCTTGTTGTGGGGAGCAGCACAGGACCTCGAAATGGACCAAATGGACGTGTCCACCGCATTCCTGAACCCGACACTCAGTGAGGAGATCTATATGAAGCAGCCACCGGGCTACATCAAGCCAGGAGAAGAGCATCTTGTGCTTAAACTCAAGAAGACACTCTATGGTCTCAAACAAGCCCCCAGGGAGTGGTACATCGAAATCCATGGCACTCTCGTTGAGAAAGGCTTCACTCGTCTTGATTCAGACCATTGCGTCTATATCAGGTTCTTTGAGGGCTGGCTACTCATCCTGATCCTCTATATGGACGATCTCATACTTATGAGGCACAAGAGACTCGATCTTGACAGCTTCAAGGCCAAGGAACTTCAAAAGGCGTACGAAATGCGTGATCTAGGTGCCCTGCACTACTTCCTGGGTCTTTTAGTCCCTCGAGACCGAGCCAAACGACTCCTGACGCTCAACCAGACTGGGTACATCGAAAAATGTCTTGAAACATACGGGATGACCGATTGCAAGCCTGTATCAACTCCCAGCGTCGTGGGAAGCCCTCTCACCAAGGAAATGACACCTCAAACGCCTGAAGAGACTGCAGAGATGCAGAACAAGCCCTATCGAGCGATTGTAGGCAGTCTGATCTCTGCAATGTTCGGCACAAGACCAGACATAGCCCAAGCAGTTGGAGCTGTGAGCTAGTTCTTAGCCAATCCAGGCAAAGGACATTGGAAAGCTGCCAAACGCATTCTGGCGTATCTCAGGACGACCAAACACTTCCAACTTCGACTGGGAGCCGTCCAAGAAACCCCCAAACTCGTGGGATGGTCAGACTCAGACTGAGGAGGCTGCCCAGACACTCGAAGATCGACCACAGGATACCTCTTCACCTTCTGCGGTCCAGTAAGCTGGAAATCACGCACACAACGCACTACAGCACTCCCCTCCACCGAAGGCGAATACATGGCACTCACAGACGCCTGTAAAGAAGCCATGTGGCTCAGATCTCTACTCAGAGAACTGAGCACGCACCAAGACCAGACAGGACTCGTTCAAGGCCCCACAGTCATCTGGGAAGACAACCAAGGAGCTATGACACTCGCCACAAACCCAGTTCACCATGCACGAACCAAGCACATCGACATCTGAAACCACGTCATTCGTGAACAATTGATCAGGTTGTATTAGCTAGATTGGGTTTTATTGAGCTGGTGGAAGCCTGTAGCAACTTCCGCGGGCTCCGCGGACTTGGCAGACGTCCATGGGGGCATTAGCAGGCTACACAGACTTGGCAAAACCTTACCAACCTTAACTGCGGCACTCAGAGACGCCTTGGGCGTTCTGAAGGGGTCGCAGAGGGTGCTTTGGACGCCCCAGCACATAGCTAAATCCCCAAGAAAGAAGCCCCAGATTTGTGTAAAAGGCAGACCTGTTGCCCGTCCCCTCTCTTCACGTTATCCTCTTCAATACACCACTTTCTATCGCACTACTCTAGCCACACTACCGTCTTCTACATCACAACACTGCCCTTTGGGCAGCTTCGTCCCTCAGTCATCGGCGAACCAGTCTTAGTGACCTCTCAGATACACCTATATCAGCTAAGGTTTCAATACTTCCGACTTCAAAGATATCAAATCCGATCGTTGGCCATCTTCCTACACGGTATGGGAAGAGGTTGGAGAAATCCATATGGATGATGACCAGGTTTGAATCGTCAACAGGATTTGCAAGTTCCAACATATCTGGGAACGTCGCAGCATGCGGGAGGCCAGTAGTATTGTGTAAGAATCCTTGCAAGAGTCTTATTAAAACTGAGATGTCCTCCGGTGGTGAGATCATCATGGAATTGCCGTGAGATTGTTGCGAATATCTTCAGGAACGTATAAACATCCTTCAGGTTCCATTCCATTTTCGAACGTATAGCAAAGTTGTCTAGAAGGTTTCTTGTGTTGAGGCTTCCGAGAAACTTCGTCTAGGTAATCCAAATGGGTCTTCGCGTACCGCAATTTTCCATTCTTCCTCTTGGTAGGTAGGTGAGCTTTGTCTGTTGTAGCGTTGAAGGAAGCTTCACCGGCAAGCGCGTTGCTGATCTGCGTATGCATGTCAAGGCGAGATTGACAATCTATACACCGAGGCACATAGATTGGATTGCGAGAAAGCATATCGGCTATGATTCCACCATCCAGGTAGATACTGGATGTCGAAGTCATACTCTTGTAGCTTCTCCACCCATTTGGCTGGTCTTCTGCTCAAGTGGGGTTGCGTTTGGATGAATTCGAGTCCCTTGTGGTCGCTGAAACTTCGGAAGTAATGACCAATGAGATATGGTCTATTGGCGAGCAACATCTTCACAAGAGCTAGGAGCTCTTGTTTGTGCATAGGATATTGAGTTTCTGCATCCTTCATCTTCCTTGAGGAAATAATTTGTTAAACCGAGGAAGCTCTGAACTCCTTTGGTTGATCTTAGAGTAGGCCAATCCTTAATAGCTTGGATCTTTGAGGGCGCAATGCGAACACCATGTCCTCCGACAATATGTCCTCACCATTCGATTTCTTCCTTGGCCCATACACACTTTGAATGTTTGATGAAAAGGGCATGTTCTTCGAGCTTCTTCAGGATACAATCAACTTGTTCCCGATGTTCGGCAAGAGTTTTTGAAAAAATGAGGACAATGTCCAAATAAGTAGGAAGGAATTCGTCATAGTCTTTATGAAAGATCTTATTCATAAGTCGTTGAAATGCGGCAGGTGCATTGGTTAGCCCGAATGGCATAACCAAGTGTTCGAAGTTTCCCAATCGAGTTTGTATTGCTGTTTTCTCTTGATCTTGTCTGCCTATAAGAAGAGAATGGTATGCTTCTCGAATGTCGGTAAGCGTAAACCATTCACAACCTTGATTCCGATCCCTCATCTCACAAATATTGGGTAAAGGAGTACGATCTTTCTTGGTGATGGAGTTGAGACCTAGATAGTCCCAACAAATACGTAGTTTGCCATCTTCCTTCTTGGCAAAAACGACACTAGCTCTCCATGGACTTGAGGAGTGTTGTATCCATCCTTTTTCGAGCATAACGGAGATTTGCTTCCTGAGCTCAGCGAGCTCTTCCTTGTTCATGTGACAGAGAGGTTGCCAAATGGGTTCAGCACCTTCAGTGAGTTCTATCTTGAAGTTGTCTTTTCCACGATCAGGAGGTATACCTTCTGGTTCCTTGAAGAGCGTATCGACGTATTTATCTAGGATATCCTTAAAGAACACTTGTCTTGACGGCTTGAGGACGCGATTGAAAGCAGATGCAGCCGACGATGACTTCCTCGATGTCGTACATCAAATGAAGCAGAACCGATTCGATCTGGCTCCTATGATCACCACCGACACGAAACTTACCACGCAGGCAGGAATTGCCAAAGTTATCAAGCACGCTTCACTCTCCAGAAGAGACATTGCTCAAGGAATGTTGGAGATCCTTTGTAACGCTGTCATAAAGTCTGGCACCGATGTAGTCAAAAGATGCACGATTTATCGCACACCAGTGCTATTGGAGACCAGGGCTATTTGGAAGTCAAATAGCACCAACTTTGCGATGCACCTATGCGCTGGAATATCACACCAGTGCTATTACAGGACCAGCAGTACGTCGTTGTATGTACATCTGTTTCGAAAGCACAGGACTGGGCAATTCAATTCAAGAACATTACCAAAGCCAATCGCTTGAGGGCAGCCTGGATTTGGGCACATCTCCCGTCGTCACCCGGCCTTGCTAAGTTACGTCCCAGATCTTGAGTTCAGCATTGCACTCAGCACCCCATCCTCCGACACCCTGTCTGACATGGGTGATGATCACTACCCTATCCTCACTCCAATGGAGGCAGACGAGGCCCTCTCACAGTTCCCCGCAGGCCAGGAAGAGCCAGAGTCTGAAGTCTACAACAGAGGCCGCCGCAATTCCTTTGACCGGCGTCAGGAAGAGTGGGACTACACTCAGAGAATGTCGAAGGAGGGTGAGGACCAGGACAATAAGCCCAGTGCCGTGCCTTGCAAACCAGGCCCTGACGATACCATTGCCATCACTTTGCCTTTGAAGAGGAAGCTGATTCCTGAGAATCTTGCGCCAAGATTTTGACCGTTGTCCGAGGAGGAGATACAGAGGATTAATGAGGCAGACAAAAACCTGAACACCGTTCGCTCTACAAAGACATGGGTCAAAAAGTGGAACCAGTACAAGGAAGAGTGCCACTTGACTAAGAAGATGGCACTGTCAACGTTGCTCAATTGAACAAGGTGAGAACCCACAACTGCTTCCGCACAGTCCATTTGTTTGACCTCAAAGCTGATATCTACTTCACGCAAACCATCTAGGACTTGGAGGCCTTCATCATTCAGGTCAAAATGGACAACGGGGAAGGGTTTTGTGACTCCAGCTTGGATACTGGCTTTGGTAGTCTTGGCCGCTATTTCAAACTCAAAGGGGAGGAAAACAACCGGGTTGTCAATATTCAGTCTGACACTGAGTTCCGTGGTGCACGTACTATTCTCAACGTGAGGATGGCCGACCTACATAAGATGGGCAATGGTGGGACCACGCAGCCTCTGACCTCAGCCTTGAAGAATTTCGCACTATGCTGGGTTCAGCCTTCTGCTCAGTGGACACGCCGGAAGGCCTTCTCCACTGCGTTTACCTCTACCTGTCAGTCTTCCTTGTTGAGCGTGGAGGAGAGGCAAGCCGCATGGAGGTTACAGATCTGAAGCTGAAGATGATTCTTGTGGTTATAGGAAGTAGCCGATGAAGAGTAGAACCATTACTGTATTACTATTAGTTATATCTATTACATTCTTAGGTGTCGGGCACTTCACTCCTAGCCGTCTGCGCAGACTGCTGAAGCGAAGGCTTACTAATGACGGCGTTTGACAGGATTAGGGATAGGGTTAGGGATAGCTCACGTCTCTGCACAACACTCCCCCGACGCGAAATGCCCAAACAACCCTAAAATCCGGCTGTCCACATCGCCGACGACTGCATACCCCTCTTCTTCTTCCATATCCGACCCCATCCAACCGGTCCAGATTCATTTCCCCTCTCATTGGGCAACTTCGACCACATCCGCTCTTGTTTACGGCTCTCTTTGTCTCAATCCGCATAGTGCCCGGAGGTGAACAAAGGCTGGTTTCGGGAGGGCTTTCGTCTGGATGTCGGCGACCATTTCTTTTGTTGATATATACTGAATATCTACTTTGTTTTCAGCCACGAGTTCCCGAATGAAATGGTGTCAAAGGTCGATGTGTTTTGTCCTCTGATGATCTACCGGATTATTGGCGAGTTTTATGGCGGCTTGGTTGTCCTCATAGATCAGGACGGGCTGGGGCTCGTCAGGGACCCCCAGGATTTCCCTTTTCAACCGAGAGAGTCAGATCGCTTCCTTAGCCGCCTCTCCAAGCGCCACATATTCTGCTTCCGCTGTGGATACCGTCATGTTTTTCTGCCGTTGGGATTTCCAGGATAAAGCTCCCCCATTCAAGGTGAACGTATAGCCCGAAACCGACCGTCTCGTCTCTTCACACTTCGCGAAATCCGCATCACTGTATGCCCGCAGCTCGTTATCTGATTCGCCATATTGCAGGACAAGCGTTTTGGTCTTGGCAATATAACTGAAAACCCGCTTGACGGCTTTCATATGAGTTTGCGAGGGTTTGGCTAAGTACTGAGAGTGTTTGGATACGGCGAATGCGATGTCTGGTCGGGTTCCAACCAGTAAGTACATCAATGACCCGATCATTGACTGGTACGTTTTGACGTCTGCCGGCTTCTCCTCCTCCGCAGTCATAACTTCTAGTTTCACATTTGGGTCCAGCGGAGTGTCGTGCGGTTGCATCTGTTCCAGCCCGAATTTTCGCAGGATGTCGCTTATATACTTCTGCTGTCCAATAGTGAGGGTCCGCTGGGTGCGATTTCGTCTCACTTCTATTCCTAGGAGGTGGGAGAGCTCCCCCATGTCCTCCATTTCGAAGCGCAATTTCAGCTCTTCTTTAATAGCGTCCCGTTCGGATTTACTGGTTGAAAGGATGGTCAAATCATCGACGTAGACGGCAATGATAATGAAACCTCGTCCAATGCGCTTTATATAAAGAGCATAGTCCAGTTTTGACACATTGAAGCCCTTCTCCCGGAGGTAAGCGTCCAAGACCTTATTCCATAACCGGGGCGACTGTTTAAGGCCGTATAGGGAACGTTTGAGTTGAACAACGGTACCGTCGGGCAGGCGAAGGTATATTACGGTGTCGAGGTTCCCATTCAGGAAGGCGGTTTTCACGTCCATCTGATGGATTTCTAGGTCGTGTGCCGCTGCAATGGCCAACAACATCCGCAACGTGTTGAATTTTACGACGGGCGCAAACGTTTCATGATAATCTATCCCCTCTCTCTGCGTGAAACCCCTTGCGACTAGACGAGCTTTGAACTTCTTTATGGTGTTGTCAGGGTTGCGCTTTACTTTGAATACCCACTTAGAATCTACTGTGTGTCCAGAGTGGTTTTGACCGGGATTTTGGGCGCTCTGGTCATCGGGTTTTGGACCAGAATTCTGGGCGTCCCCAGAAATTCGGTGGTCAACCCATCGACCGGGTGCTTCCCAGGTTCCATTCTTTGCATGGGATGCAAGTTCCTCTTCCATAGCGGCTTGCCATTTGCGTGCGTATGGAGATTTCATAGCGGCTTTCAGTGTGGAGGGTTCGTCTGTGTCTACCGTCGCTGCTAAGAGCTCTGCGCCGGGTCCTGATCCGGGTTCAGCTCCAAGGTACTGACTCCCGTCGTCTTCGACCCCCAGAAATTCCGACAACGCTACTGCGTCCTTCACAAATTCATAGGGTTCCCAAGTGGGGTCGTCAAACCCTACCCACTTAACAAGGTATTCCTTCTCCCCCAAATCTCCATCCCCACGCCACAAAAGCATCTTTTCAACGGCGTATTCAGCATCTGAGTTTGATTCAGGGATGGATTCGCTACGACTGTTGTTTTCTTTGAAAGTGACGTCCCGGGATTCAAAGATCTCCAACGTTTCTTCATCAATGAGTCGGTATGTGCCATGTTTGGTGGCATGGTAGCCAAGAAGCCGCAACGGGCCTAGCGCCCATGCCGAAAGCTTACTTCTCCTCTTTTGTTTAGGGATGTGAAGGAAGGCTTCACTCCACGGTGTCCGCAAATTCGAGATATCTGCGGGTCGTCCGTACCATCTATGGTATGGGGTCGTTCCGGTTGCACTGGCCGGCGTCCGCTGTCTAAGATAATTGACCAATACAGCCAATTCATTCCATAGATTTTCTGGGACATTACTAATCCACATTATGGCCCGAATTTGGTCCATAATAGTCCGGTTGAAGCGCTCCGCAATCCCGTTTTGTTGGGAAGAGTATGGCTGCGTCGGAACCAGCGAGATCCCTGCTTCCTTTAATTCATCCAGCATCTCGGTCGACATGTATTCCCCCCCGTTGTCGCAGCGCAACTCTTTGATCTTCCCATTACAATGGCGCTCTGCAAACGCTTTAAACTCTTTCCACTTCTGGTGCACCTCGCTCTTATTTTTCAAGATGTAGATTACTGACCATCTCGAAAACTCGTCAATAAACGTGAGGATGTACCGCTTTCCATTAAAAGATTTCGTTTTAGGACCGACGTCCAATACATCTGAGTGGATCCTGTCCAATAATTTGGTTGCAGGCCGGGGGTTTTGCCCAGTGAAGGGCTTCCGTGTTTGTTTTCCTTTTTTACAGCCCACACAGAGTGGGGGTTCGGCGTTTTTGGTGTTGAGTTCGAAGTTGTATTCTAAACTCGCAGCTTGAAGCGCTTTGGATCTGATGTGTCCAAAACGCTGGTGCCATAGTTTATTGACGTTGCGGTCTTGGGCTTTCCCTCAAGTGCCAGAATAAACGCTTCCGGCTCTGCTTCAATATACCCTTTCAGGAACGGAAGTCGTCCATTATGGGTCACTCGCAACACGGATGTCCCATCTCGTCTGATTTCCGCATGTCCTTTTCGGAGTTGGATGTCGTAGCCCTCATCAACCAAAGGTGCCGTACTGCATAGATTTTGGCGCGCATTGGGCACATAGAGCACGTTTCAAAGGGTAATGTGTTTTTCCGGCTCTGTTATGATCTCGACGACGGAGGCGGAAGCGAAGTAGAGAAGCCAGGGTGAGAGTGATAGGCGACAAGAGATTGTATTGGCGAAACAAGAAACAAGGACTAGAACAGGAGATGAGAAGAACTGGTGTTGATCTGCTGGGGAGGAAGGGAATGGACGAAGAGAGGCCGGCTATTTATAGATAGGCAACCCAGCAGATCAGAGAACAACAACCACAAGAGGGGACTGGGGGGGCGCCAGCTATGCTCCTAGAGCGTGCGTGGCGAGCGTAGAGAGCATTGCTCCAGCTGCTGGCTATGGGGAAGTAGTGGGGGGTGTGGAGAAGCCGAGGGGGGATTGGCGAAATGAGAGGAGAGAGGGGGAGTGGCATTGACATTGACATTGACACTGACATTGACACTGACATTGACATTGACATTGGCGTTTGACATTTGGCGGTTGACATTGGCGGCTGTCAGTAGGTAAGCTTATGGTATGGGCGCGTCGTCCATAACATCACCCCTCTCTTGAGCGGCGGCGGCGGCGGCGTCGAGTTTGATGTGGCCGCACAGGAGGTGCTACGGGGACAGAGGAAGGCTTGTTGGGGTACGCGCTGTGGTAGTCCTGGAGGAGTGCGTCGGTATGGGTGAGGTGTTCCACGGGCTCCCAGGTGTTCTCAGAGTCAGGCCAGCCCTGCCATTTGACCAAGTACTGAAGGCGACGACGATGGATGCGAGAGTCAAGGATGGCTTTGACAACCCACTCTTCTTGACCCTCAACGGTCTCTGGGGGCGCGGGTTCGGGTTCGTGTCGTTCGGGGATGGTGAAGCGGGGTTCGAGGAGCGAGACATGGAAGACATCGTGGATTTTGTACGTAGGCGGGAGCTTGAGCCGGTAGGCGACGGGATTGATTTTTTCAACGATGGGGAATGGCCCAATCTTGCGATGGTCGAGTTTCTGAGAGGGCTGGGTTGTCTGGAGGTCTTTGCGGAGGAGCCAGACGTGGTCGCCAGGCTTGAAGTGCGGTCCAGGAATTCGTTTGGCGTCGGCGTAGCGCTTCATTTGATCTTGGGCTTCCTTGAGCTCGAGGGCGAGCTGTTCATGGACTTCCCTGATTTGTTTAGCGCGGGCTTCAGCGGCAGGGTTGACGGATTCGGAGGTAGCAGAGGCCGCGAAACTGAAGCGGGGGTGGAGACCCTTGTTGGCGTAGAAGGGGGTGGTCTGGGAGGCGGACTGATGGGTGTTGTTGTAGGCGAACTCGGCGGACGACAGAAGCTGTTTCCAGTTGTCCTGTTGGTGGTTGCAAAAGCATCGGAGATACTGCTCCAGGATCTGGTTAGTGCGTTCCGTCTGGCCATCGCTCTGGGGGTGGAAGGCCGAGGAGAGGTTGGCTTTCGCCCCAAGGAGTTCGAGAAGTCGACGCCAGAACCGGGACTTAAACTGGGGTCCTCGGTCAGAGATGAAAACGTTGGGGAGGCCGTGGAGACGGATGATGTTGTGGAAGACTAGGTCGGCGGTGGATTTGGCGGATTCTGACTTGCTGCAGGCGAGAAAGTGGGCCATCTTGGTGAGGCAACAGTTGACGTTCAGGATGGAGTCGTACCCGTCCACGGGAGGCAGACCGGTGATAAAG